GCGGATGGTTCCCAGCTTGAAAGAAGAGACTTGAAGTCGTCTTTGAATGCCGTTACGATTGAAAGAGACAAGTTCAGAGAAAAATTAATTGACATGGAAGCCATGAACAAATCTGAAGCTGCTAAAGTCAAAAAATTGGAAGAAAAAATTGTACAACTAATGATGGTGATAATTGGTTCTTGGGCAACGTTTGTTGGATTCTTTGCTGCCTGGATAATGAAGTAGATTTCATTATGGTTCTTCCTTGTTTAGTTAATTATCATTGCGTAGTTAATTGACATGTATTGTTTAGTTTGGTAGGGAATTAGTTAATTATCATTGTGTAGTCAATTAAGTAGATTTTCATGTAACTATTTTTTGGACTGAATTTTACCTTCTGTTTAGCTTCTGTTTTCTGTGTTTTTTGGACTGAACTAGTCACTTTTAGCTTCTGTTTTCTGTGGGAACATATTACCTCAAAGTCTTTGACCAAATTTACAACCTCAATGAGAACATATCAAAATAGTGAAATGAATATGACGGTTAATAACGGTTAGTAATAGTTAATCGAATTAGTAACACTAAATCAGCAGGTTAGTAGGTGTTAATCACATTCTGTTATAGCACCCATATGTGTTCAAATTTAACACAAATTGTTAATAACATTTACACAGCAGCAGGTTACTAAAATTTAACACAAATTTAACACAGCAGCAGGTTACTAACATTGACAGCAAAGGACAGTACAGAAAAGGGAACATAAGTTGTTAATAACATTTAACACAAATATTTAACATGTACCAACTGTTACTAACATTGACAGCAAATTAACAGCTAACTGTTACTAACATTGATACCAACTGTTTTAACATGTACCACACCAACTGTCATAACATTCATAACACCAACAAACATTAAACACTAACTGTTACTAACATTGACAACAAACTAATAACACAAACTATTTTAATTACATCAACCATCAAAAAAGAGATGCAACCAGCAAAAAAATATACCGTCATAGCAGTAATTACATCAACCAGCAAAGGATAACAATAGTATTGTCATAGCAGTAATTACAAGCCTTCTAAACTTCAAATTCACAAAAACTTCCACTACACAAAAAAGTTGTCCACCTATAGTTCAAGTCACATTAGTTTTGTGACTTGCCATTACTCTTTCTTGTCTTCAACTTGGCCATCTTCTCAAGCTGGTTTCCTGTTATAGCTTTCTTTCTCACACCAGATGAGTCACCAACAAAATTGATGGTCCTTGTTATAACCGGTATGGTTCCTTGCTGTCTCATAAGCAGTCTTATCCTTTCTTAAGAGAAACTCCTTGACCTAATTTCTGGGGCAGAATTTGATTCAAAATTAGAAAACTCAAAATCTGGTGGGACAGTGTTGTTGGGAGGTTTCCTTTGCACTGATGGAGTTGGCATAAACTGAAAGTTTGAGTCTTGTATTGGATGACTTGACTGACTTGCTTGACTTAACAGTGGTGCTGAAAGTTCTATGTCCTCCTCAGCTGGTATATTTGCAGCAAGTGGTGACATGAGTTGTTCATCATTACTGTCGTGAGTTGTTAAACATCTTTGCCTCTTTGTTTGCTTGCCCTTTGTCTTACTTGCCATTGGTTGCTTTCCCTTAGAATTCTATTTAACAAATAGGTAAGAGTAAATAGGTAAATAAAATAGGTAAATAGGTGAATAAAATAGACAGTATTGAAAAAAAAGTATTACCTTTGCTCAGCCCCTAGCATTGTGTCCAAGATGACCACATGTGGAACACTTCATTATCCTCCCCTTCCTGGACTGCATCCATTCACCTTGTCTGTTGACTGTTTCATTTTTTTTCTCTTGTTCTTTTGACTTTAGGCATGCCAACCATCTTAAGAAATTCTGGTGGTTCCATTGCATGAGATGCTTCAACCTTCCAGAATTTTTCTCCTCTCACTAGTTGAAGTTTATGTGAATATGCTAGGAGATAGGCCTCTTTGGAGTACCACCAGTGTATTTCAGTCAAAGGATTCATTTTGCTGTGTTGCATTGCTTTGATTGCATGAGGACAAGGGATTCCATTAAGGTCCCATGTCCTACATGTGCATCTCTTGTTGACCATATTCACTGTGTGTCTGTCACCATCTTCACTTACTTCATACCCTTCTTGACCATTGGAATGAACATGACACTTGTTTGCAATCTTCAAGTATTGGCTATACAGTTGCATTGTTTGGGGACTGAAGTCATTACTCCATGACATCACATCAGATTCATGTTCCCTTAGCATGTTCATAACCTTTACTCTAATATCCTCAAGCATCTTGATAGTTGGCTTTAATCTTGCTTCCTTGATCCATGAATTGAAGGACTCAGTTAGGTTGTTGTCCACTGAGTAGTTCTTGCAAACAGTGTCAAAGTATGCTCTACTCCAACTTTCAGGTAGGTACTTCATCAAATCTTCAACGGCCTCCTTACCATCTTCATCCACCTGTGCCATATTCCTTAATTGATCTTTAAAATCTTCCTCATATGTGCTCCATGTAGCCCATCATAATTACTTCTTATATTCCCCATGTCCCCATCTTTTGCATCAATTTGCCTCTATGTGTCTTACACAATATCTATGGTGTGCTTCAGGAAGAACCAAGTGGACTGAATCAATCAAACTCCATGTCACTTTGGTCTCTTTATCAACAACAGCCCAAGCTAAGGGATAAAAGTGCCTCATGGAGTCTTGAGCAACAGCTACTAACAATTGACCCTTGCATTTTCCTTTCAAAAAGGTTCCATCAAGCCAATGAATGGTCTCAACCCACTCTTAAACCCCATTTTCAATGCATGAAAACATATGTACATTCTTAGGAATCTTCTTTTACCTTCACTAAGTGCATCCTCTGAAATATTAATCACCACATCTGTTCCTGGATTACTAGCCTTAATTCATTAGCATAAGCCTCAAGTTTGTTGTACTCATCTGCAAAACTACCCTCCATTTTCTCCAATATCATTCTCTTGGCTCTCTTACACTTTGAATGACTAACATTGATGTTAAATGCGGCTTTTACACTTGCCATCATCTCCTTAATATCTTAGGATTATCTTGAAGCCCTCTCTTAAAGTAAGCAGCTATGGTTTTTGCATTTACCTTATGGTTATCATATGCAGTATTACACTTATGTTCTTCCTTTAAAGTCTTGAATTTAACGTCGGGACCTTTAAAGTCTTTGGAAATATGACAGACAAATGGGCAGTCTTCATCTAAACATCTGTACCTAAGCTTTTGGGGGCAACTCTTAAGTTGTTTTAACCCATAACCATTAGCAAGAGAATATATGTTGATGAATTTTCTAGCTTCTGGAATGTCTTTGAATGTCATGGACTTGTGTAACTCCTTAAAATCAGTCAACTTATCAGATATCTTCCTCTCTTTTTGTGTATGCAGTCTTTCTAATGAATCAGATTCACTATCAGAATTATCTGAAGAATCAGAAGAGTGACAGCCATGTTCTTCGCTGTCATCTGAACTACAGTCAGTAGCAACATCAAGTTCTATTATGTTTGACTCAATGTGCTGGACTATATTATGAATATTAATACTTAACTCACACTCATCTACAGCAAAGAAGTCAATAACATTAAACTGATCACTAACCAAAGACAGTAGACTCCTAACACCTTGATCACTTTCTATTTCATAATATCTACCACTAGGTCCATTTACAATTACTTGTTGAACTCCAATAAACCCCAACTAAGAAGTAAATTCATTTACTGAATAGTTATAAGACAATTGGTCAGAGTTAAAACCTTTAACAATGTGCACAAGCTTCTTTGAGTATAAGACTTGTGGATTATATATCCAATCACCACCATAATGAAAGATCAGATCCAATAAGACCATTGCATATAAGCTGCAGAATAAGAAAGGGAAAAAATTAACAAAAAAGTAACATTACAACCTATATAATATGCTGACAAAGTGGACCATACAATAAAGACATAAGAACCACATAAAGTGAAGACAAAGATACAAAAACAAACAAAAAAAATAGTGGGTTGCCACACATGAAGACACAACTACAATAAACAAAGAGATGATGGGGGACGAAGTATATAAACAAAAAAAAAAAAAAAGATTCTGACCCACTTGTCTCTTAACTCAACGCATGTGTATAAGAAATAGGGGACCAAGCACCCAAAATAAGAGCATCAAAGAAACAGATCCAACACAAAGGGACCCCTTTTCTGTCAAATACCATATATGTAGGACCACAAAAATTGAAACTCTAAACTGAAACAAAAAGAAAATACTAGATAGAGATGATTCCAATACAAAATACAAACCCTAAACCACCAGTAATAAAGACCAAAACAAGAAAAATAAATTTAGGGTTAAATCGAGTATGAACAGACCACATGCAAACAAAAACAACAAAAATCAGACACACCTCTTAACTAAAAAAATATATATCTACATGAATCAGTCAAAACCCTAGTCAAAGAAACAAAAAATCAAAACTAAATGCAACGATATGCTTCCGTCCATACCAAAAACAAATCAAAGAAATGACGATTTACTAATTTTCACAAGGAAATAGGTACCTTTGTATGCATCCACGATGAAGACGATAAAGACGATTTTTACAGTGAAGAGAGAAGGTGAGAGATTTTTCTGTAAATGAAGGTGAAAGGTTTTGACCGGGGTTGGGAATATTTTACTAGGCTAATTAACAAATTAAAAGTGGGGCGGGGCGGGTCATTATAAAGTGGGACGGGTTATAAAAAGGTGGGCGGGTAAAAAAAGTCTAGTTGGCACATTATTATGGGGGACCCGGTTGCCACGTAGGAGATCCGTTAGATTTAGGTACAAATTCTCCTACTTTAGTAACGGCATGTATTATTTTAGCCGAAAAGTAGAACGGGGTATTAAGGTGAATAATTTTCAATAGTAGAGATACAAATTTGACCTTTTCTTTATATAAGGCAATCCAAACACACTCTTATACTCATCCGGTCTTCAAATCCACAACTACAACAATAAAAACCCTTCGTTTTCAATTTAAACCACCATTATTCTGACGTTACCAGTCAAAATCCATTTCTCAATCAACACAACAATGTCATCCTACGGCAACAGAGCAACTTATTCTCCTTCAGCACCACCTCTCTCCGGCCCAAACGAGCCCCCAGTAGCCCATCCCTATCATCCTCCTCCTTCTCCTTCTTCGGGAAATTACCCAAATTACCCTCAGTCTCAGCAGCCCCAGCCACAGAGTAGTGGTTATGAATATGGGCCTACTTCTTCTTCTTCTTCTTCTTATGGTTATAATTACCAGCAGCCTACTCCAAATTATGCAACTTTTCCTCCTGGCACTGACCCACAAATTATTCAGAGCTTCCAGATGGTGGACAGGGACCAAAGTGGATTTGTTGAAGAGAAGGAGTTACAACAGGCTCTTTCTTCGGGTTACCAAAGGTTTAGTCTTAGGACTATTCGTTTGCTCATCTTTCTCTTCAAAAATCCCTCTGACCAGTTCCCACGCATTGGTAAGCTTCTTTTTTTTCCCCTTCTTGGGTTTCTTATTTGGTCATTTTTTTAAAAATAAGTTTGCCTTTTTGCCATGCTTTTAGTTGTGGGGTTCTTTATCCAGATATATTTAGCTATGTTTTTTGCACAATTTCTCCAAGTATGCTTTTGGATTACCCCTCCTTTCCAATTTGTTCCCTATAGTTTGATTCAACACTAAGTTTAAGAACAAAATGAGGATTTTTAAAACTTGTGGTTTTAAACATGTCATAACTTTTGGAATGTGTGGTCTTAAATGCCATAACATTAGTGTCTCATTGACTTTAAAATGGGAATTTTAAAGTTAGATGTTTCCGGATATAGAAATTGTATCAATCTTTTGGAACGTATGCATAGGGAAATAGTGCCAACAAATTGGAGCAGAGGGAGATGTTTTTCTTTTAAAGAACGTTTGGCACATTAATTTTCCCAAAAAACAATCAGTTAGCTGAAGGGGTGGTTGGAGGATTTTCTTTCTGAGAAAAGCTCTTTTTCTACCCACTAAGCAGTCCGATATCTTTAAAAAAAATACAGCTGCGCAAACATATATCTTTTTTGAAAATATGCAAAAAGTTTCTCAAAAAGTTGTCCAAACGGCTTGGCAAGAGTTAGTTCAATTTTTACTCTTTTTTTTTTTTTGAATTTAGGTCTTCGCTTTTTGCTATTAGTCTAATCACTTCGTAGTTCGTATATAACTTTTCCTTTCTATCAATGTAGTTCAAATTCACAATGGTGATTTTGTTGTTCTGATAAGAACTAATGAGTAGAATATATGGCTTGTATTTTGCTTTGCTTCTAAAAAAAATTGTGGGTGTTAGCTATATGACATTGCTGTCTACTTTTGTTGCTCCAAATATTGTTTTTGCTATATCTTATTTAATTGAGCTTTGCCATGTATTGCTGAACAGGACCAAAGGAATTTGCTGCACTATGGAGTTGTCTTGGTCAATGGAGGGTACACAGTTCAATTGCTTTCTACTTTAGGTTTTTATTTAAGTATTAACAGTCAAGAAATTAGAGTATCAAAACCTTTATCAGGAAAAAAAAAAGATATCAGAAATGGAGGTTGACATGAGTAGTAGCAGGCTGTAGAGGATGGAGGGGTGGGAGGGGATTGAGGAGGGGGGGGGGGGGGAATGACACTAAATAAATTATATGCAGCCCAATAAGTCCTTGTCCTGGGGTAATTTTCTAGGTTTTCGACGCCTATGGAACATTAGGGAGAGAAGCTACTGCAGTATAGAAAGTGGTTGGTAAACATTTTGGACAATTTGGAGAGAAAGAAATTATAGATATTCTGAGAACAGACATTCATCTTTATCATGCGTAAAAATTAAAGCTTTACAGTTCTCGTTCTCATAGTGTAACTTGAAAGATGCTCATAGTGTGGATGTTTTTGTGGACTTACTATGGATGAGTTTAGGAATTCTTTTTTGCCTCCAAAAGAATTATGGAGGAGAATATTAACAATTAAATAATTATGGAGCGCAGTATTGAGGATAACATAGTGGCTGATATACCATTGTGCCTCCCTCTCACCTTACCACTGTCTTCCGTTTTTGTTTCCAAAATCATTTTTACCGCTTTGCAAATTATAATTACTGCCTCTGACATTGATCCTCTTGTTTGTAGGCAATATTTGAGAGATTTGATAGAGATCGAAGTGGGAAGATTGATGCAACAGAACTAAGGGATGCTCTCTACAGTCTTGGATACATGGTGCCACCTTCTGTTCTTGAAGTTTTGATCTCCAGATATACTGATGGAAGCAGTCGGAGGCCTGAACTATGTTTTGATAGCTTTGTCGAGTAAGCCTCATAATGCAATAAACCTTTTCATCGAATAGATAGGTTCTCAAGTTGGCTATGTTCTGAACATTATGTTTTAATGATGCAGATGTGGGATGATTGTGAAGGTAAAATAACTGATCTCTTTCTATAAATACTTTGCTACTTGATATCTCAATTTCTGTAATACATCTGCCTGGCTTTTATATATTTCTTTCCTCATTTTAGTCATTGGTCTGACATTACCCTCATTAGCTAGGGGGTGCTAGAACATCAGAATCTTAAGCTACTTTTTTTTTTTATAAAGATGAATCTTAAGCTACTATATGAGTTGCATACACTAAAATTGCTGCACCCCTATGTGTACTGTTCTTTGAAATTGCCCCTTTGCAGAAAGTGATACCAACTTCCCCCTATTAGAGTTTCCTCGAGAAACACAAATCTACTTTAGGCATGTAAACAACATACAAGGAAGTATAATGTATCCCAAAACGTCTAGAACATAGTTATAAGTAGACACATGTAACTTGAACTATACTTTGTTAAGAACCGCAATAAACACATGATGGAATCATCAAATATAGTATCAATCAAGCTACTCAATTTGTTAGCCGAAACTTAAAATACGCCAATACAAGCATCAGGTTGTCCTTGCATGTGCAGGTTGGAAAGCATATAAATAAAGCGTACTTAAAATCTGAGATCTTATCATTCTGTCCAAAAACATACATACTTCTGAGAAATCATGCTAGTAATGAGAAATCAATTAAAGATAGGTTTCTACTCATCTCTAAGCTCGAATAGTTGCTGGTATTTACTACAACTAGTCAATCCAATCACTTCCTTGCGTTATTGAGTGAAAAGCATGAGGAATTAACATGTTCCCATCATTGGGGTTGATAATCATGTTTAACCCTTGCTTATAATTTTAACCCTAATTTACTGAATTGAAGAATCCCCGTCGCTTAATTTCCTAATAAAAGAAATCAAATTTTAGGAGTTCAATCCTTACCTCTGACTTGAAAATCCTTGATCAACATTGGGTCAACTCAAATTCTACTCTCCAATATTCCCTTGGCTGCTTACATTTGAAAGGGGTATAATGTGTACGGTTAAAATATGAGAAAGCTGTATATCCTGGGCTACATCCATCTTCAGCTTCTCAGAAGAACCTTGAGGATTGGATTCTGCCTCTTTTGCATGTCAAGTTACTCCTTGTCCACGAAGAAGTAAGCCCTTATCTGCCTCTCAGATAAATCTTTGTAACTGTCTTGTGTTTGCTAGCCTTTTCTAAAAGCATTAGTTACCTAGAACTCTTTTCATTTCAAGTAGAGAAAGGTGGAAAATAAATTCTAGGAGGGTGATCACTGAATGAAAAAGCGTGTAACGTCTATATAATATGTAAATGTAAATAAGAACGTGTATATCAACTAGCATAAAAGAGGATTCTGCACTATGGTATTTCACTAGGAGGGTGGTTAATGGAACTTCTAAAAATAGTTTGGAGTTGTATGTTGTCCATCTAAGAGGCAAGTTGATGAAGCTCTGGTATTGAATTTTGTCCTATCATGCTTAGTCCACCCCTAGATCTGCTCTTCTGTTAAGTAACCCTCTTCAGTTATGGAAAGCTTCTCAATATGCTTTCAGACCTTTCCACCTAGAAGGAACCTATGAATGAGAATTCTCTAGTATAACCTTATCTTCTGCCATGGCTACCAATCCTTAACAACTAACATGATACTGTTACTGTTTAGGATCCGCTATGAAGTCGAAAATTCAGTTTATCAATTTAAATGCTTCTCAAGATTTTCACCTTGTTCCTTTGTCCACACACCGTCACCTTAGCTTCTCCATTTTGCAATCATTAGTCTTCTTAGTACCGAAACTTCTCAAATCGACTTTTGGAAAACTGAATCATGGTGAATTCGTGTTTTGGGAAAGGAGAAAAAGGAAAAAAAAGAAAGAAGAAAAAGCAGAACAAAACAAAAGAGAAAAAAGAGGAATCTATGAGGACATTCAAGAAATGGTTCTCCTTTTATTTCAGCTACCTCACAAACCAAATTTCACAACAAATCTGTGGACAAGTTAGATTACCTTGCATTTTCTGAAGACAGTAAGTTCAGGATTGCTTGTTACGGTAGTCAATTATAGGCTTTTACCAGGCCTTAGTTATCAGATGTGAAGCTTGATCCTCGATGCAGGCCAGCATAAGTGAATGGTAATGGTAGAAAGTGCTATAGAGTAGGAATAAAAAGGTGTAGCATGTCATGGTTTATTAGAAGTAAATTAATGGCTATTGGGCTAGTAGTGGTGGTCTTGTAGGTGATGACGATTGAGATGTTGGGTTATCAAGAAACTAGCACTATAGTTTGCTGAACAGTGAGTAATGAGCAGATGATTGCTGAGAGGAAGGAGTTGGTTAATATAGGCTATGCAAAGAAATAGTTTGGTGGTTAATAGGCCAAAGAAGGTGATGTTTGAACAAGTATCCAAAGAAATAGTTTGGTGGTTAATAGGCCAAAGAAGGTGATGTTTGAATAAGTATCCTAAGGTAATTGTACCATTGGAGGAAATGCATTGCCATTACAAAACATTAGCTTTCTGTGGTCGGGATTCTTTGTTATTTGTCTGAGAATAAAAATAATGGTAGAAGGTGCAATGGAGTAGGAACAATAGGATGTAGCATGGAACTGTGTATAAGAAGTAAATTAATTGTCTTATCAGAACAATAGGAACATTGTATTGTGCATTATTCGGATACAGTAGGAACAGCGTATTGTGCATTATTTGAGCAAATATGTAATAATCTTTATTAATCTTCCAGATTTTCTTTTGAATTTTATGTTATATTATTGATTTTTATCCTTTATTTTGTGTAGATTCTTTTTTGTTTCAAAAATTAAAATAAATCGATCTCGAAAGGCTAATTCCTTGCCCAAGAAGAGTGAAGCTCCTCCCTTTCTCCTTTTGCCCTTAAAAACATTGATGTGAATTATGTACTTCCTCAGATCATAGACATTTGACAGGTTTATGAAGGTAAAATGCACATTTCTCAAGTCGGTCAGAGTATGTCTACCTGTTGATCATAGGGATCTTGGGAATAGGTTGTGCATTGAGAACTTCTCTGAGTTTCAGAATATATTTTAAAATGGTTACATATCAGAAACATAGAAATCATCCAGATGGTAATAGATATAGTGTGCCTTTTCTGATATATTGCCTTAAAAAAAAGAAATGAATTGAGGTGGAATTCAACTTCAATATAATATTGGGCAAAGGGTCAAAATTACCCCTCTACTATTGTTTATTGGTTACTTGTGCCACCCGTTACAGTTTTCGTCCATTCTTGTCCCTACGTTAATAAAGTTTGAAAAAATACCCCTAACCCTAACGTTTTGACACTGTGGCAGCTGACCCCTCAATTTTTTCCATGTCAGCTGCCAAGTCATTAATTAACCTACCCCTTTTCTTATTAAAATATTATCATCTTCTTCTCCCTCAAACTCCCTCGCCTTCCAACTTTACCAATAGCCATTATCCCCATCCAAAATCCACTGCTCCTCACACTCTATGATCATTTAAAAACACCAAACAAAGAACCAATTTACTCTTAAGGCCGCAAGTGCTTAACTAAAGAAACAGAAATTAATAGAAAACAATAATAGCTTGCACCGTCATATATCTTTTCGAACAATAAATAGTTATTTGCAGCTGACTCGATCAATAGGATAAAACTCACTTTAAACAAATTGAAACTTGATACATTACATAGTACAAAAATTTAACGCCGGAGAATTGCCGACTGAATAATCTTTAATTATTTGCAAGTAAAACCCACAAAAATTGTTCATAGCTTTAGTAGAAAGACAACACAACGAGAATTGGCCACCACAATTCGTACATATCTGTACATTAAAATCATAGACGATAATTTTTGTGGTTGTTACTCGATCACCGGCAATATACTGGTGGTGGAGCTGCTTCTACCCCTTTTTCTTATGTTTGTACAGATCTATGTATGTGTGCGTGTTTTCCCCTGACTTTGGCATTTTGTCGAGCACCTGGCATGGTCAACTCTGCAGAATTTGTTTTTTCAGATTCGAGAAGATTGGCCCGTTGTTGTTGTCGTTTGAGGTGTTGGGAGCAATGTCCTCATCAGCAGAAATCATTTCGCGTTGGTTTTGGTCGATTTGGACGGCCGGAACTCCATTTCCGGCCACATGGTGCTCATCGGAGAGTTGCAGAGGTTTGGGGATGACGATTGGCACGGTAGAATGGCCTGAAATTTGGTGGAATGGTCTGGTACCACTCTTTCTCCGCTGAAGCTTTTTGAGGCTTTTCCACCGGAGGTGATGGCTGCTCGGTTAGTGGCGGTGATGACGACAATGATATCGGTGGTGAAGGCTCTTGTTATTCGTTGAGCTCAACTGAAATGGGGTCGTTTTAACTTGGTGGGGTTAATTAATGACTTGACAGCTGACATAGAAAAAATTGAGGGGGTCAGCTGCCACAGTGTCAAAACGTTAGGGTAAGGGGTAATTTTTAAAACTTCATTAACGGTAGGGACAAGAATGGACGAAAAGTGTAACGGGTGGCACAAGTAACCAATAAATAATAGTAGAGGGACAATTTTGACCCTTTTCCCTATAATATTTGCACACATCACATGGAATTCTTTTTAAATTTGTCAACAGTAAGTATTTTGCCTTCATGTTACTGTCTCTGAATCCTTCTGTTTTTGCATTTTCAGGGCTTGACTGAAAAGTTCAAGGAGAAAGACACACGTTATACCGGCTCGGCAAAACTGACCTATGATGAGTTCATGTCCATGATCCTACCTTTTATTGTGTCATACTAGGATGTTAGAGATTCAGTTTTTATTTTATTTTATTTTATTTATTATTTGACACGTTTTCCGGTTTTGGAGGGGATGTCGAAAGTTGGCATTGTATATGTACAATCTCGTCTGTACAAGTTTTTTCATATCTATTCTTCTTCAATTGTATTTTGATCATCTCTTTATTCTTCGACTGGTATATTAGAAGGTGTGTTGTTCAAGTATGGTTGTGTATATAAGTAGCGCGATAAATATTTGGGATTTGGGGAATCAAAAGAAGTTAATCTCCTCGTTTGCAAAAATGTGGTTCAGTTGGTATTCAAGTGCTGGCTGCAGCTGCCTCGAGAGGAATTGAACAGAATAACGAAATTTTGTATGTATTACTGCAAGACTTGTAATATAGTGATATTGGCCAAAAGGATTATAATCATGTTGCCAAATGCAAGTCATTGTCCGGATATCAACACAATCTGATATCATTGATCCAAAAAGAATATTCTGTAGAGAGTGCCAAAGAGTTAAATAACTCAGGTCCATATGTCATTCTTGGTGAATATTGCAGATAGCAGCATTAATACTTTTACAATCAAACTCCATTGTCTTCATCCAATTCTCAAAATCTCCAATTTCCTGCGCCAAAATAGTGCATTGAAGCTACTGATATATATATATCTCAACTATGTATCTGCGGAATTGGATAATACCAACAGACAGCATATCAATACAAAAATTCACACTTTCCACTGTATAGAAGCATCTCATTTTGCTACACCTCACCAACATTCGGTCAAAAGGAGAATCTAATAGCCAGGTCTTTCACATAACAAAAGGTTCACAATGCTTGGACCAAAAAGCAAAACTAAAGTATTTTCACAGGATCTGGCTTACCTAGGGCAGTGGATCATGAAAAATAGGAAATTGTCGGAGTTAAATTGGGTTTCTAACAACCATGGCTATGACATTTTATCTGAGCGAAGAGCAACTAACAAATATGCTTCTACTATTACATAATTAAACTTCTGTAATATATGAACATATGCAAGGATTGTGAACTTCTCAATAAGTGAAGACTAAGATTGATAAACTATGCCAAGTCAACTAAATAGAAGATCATGAATGAATCACTGAGGTTTCATTTAATTCTAATTTCCATCTTGAAGTATACCAGTGGAATGGAACTTTAGCAAAGTAAATGTGATTACAAATTCAAATTCTATCCACAAAAGACCAGCATGTATGGCCACAAAATTATAGGCTTCTATTCAGATTTCCCATTTTTCCTTTTTCTATTTTGGTTACTTTACTCTTCCTAAAAAGTAGTCCAAAAGAACTACTATGCTCAAGCCTCGAACAGTTCTATAATTACAAGTGAACAAACTAGTTCTACTAATATAAGGCGAATTTACTTTGGCTGGGACTTCATCAGAATATTCAATCTTTTCTTTTTTGATAATGGGTGGTGTCTTGCTCACCAGCACCAGGTACTTGCTAACTCCCACCAGCAAGTAACGGTAACTCTACCCACCAAGGCCTAAGACACATGCAAAGCAATCACCTAGCACTTTGTTGTCTCTGTTAGCGCGTACAATATTCAATCTTGAAAACATAAAGGCAAGTAAAGTGAAAGAAAACTGCAATTGGAAATTAAGACTTCAAAAAGCAAATCACTCATTGAGGTGTTATTTGATTTTAATTTCCTTCGTGAAGTTATACCAGTGGGATGGAATTTTAGCAAAGTAAATGTAACAAAAAATTCGAATTCCATCCCCCAAAGATCAGCATGTATGACCACAAAATTAGACATCTCTTAGGGTTGCCCGCCCTTCCTTTTTTTTGGTTATGTTACTTTCCTCAAATAATAGTCCAAAAGAACTACTATGCTCAAGCCACAAACAGTTCTATAATAATAAGTGAACATACTACTACAACAACAACAAACCCAGTGAAATCCCACATGTGAGGTCCGGGGAGGCTAGTGTGTACGCAGTCGATACCCCTAACTTGAGAAAGTAGAGAGACGACCTCGGCTCAGAAAAATAAGTGAACATACTAGTTCTACCAAAACAAGGTGCCATTTATTTTGGCTGGCTGTTTTAGGTTAGAAGCTACATTTTTTTCTTTTTCTTTTTTCAATACTGAGTACTTGTTGCCCTCCACTAGAAGCTACATATTCATCAGAAGAATTCAATCTTGAAAACTATAAACACAAATAAAATTGAAACAAAAATGCAATTGGAAACTAAGACAACACACATAGCAATATGGACTGACCTTAATTGCAGTATTAATGGAGTGAGAAGCAGCAAGCCACTGATCAGTTAGCTTCCCAAATTGCAAAATATTTGCAGCCAAAGCTCGAATTTCTATTTCAATTCTCTTTTGCATTACAAAAGATTCTTGCACTTCTCTATTAACTGAGTCCACCAACAGCTCTGAAACCCGTCTCGCACTTCGAATTGCATCCTTCTTCGCCTTCTCTGTACCAAAATTTCAAGAAAACCATAACCCAATTTATAAAATCCGAACTTTCAATTACCCAATTGAGAAAAAAAAATCCAAAAATGCCCCAAAAAATATTTTAAAAAAAATGGAACCGAATTGTGTGACTGACCGGTGGAATCACGGAGCTTGAGAGAGGAAAAATGGTGAAGGTTGATGAATTGAATGAGTGAAGCTTCTAAGCCATGAGCAGAATCTCCTTGTTTTGACCGATCCATCTCCTAAGCACACTGCAATTGCAGCTCTAGATTGTATATGCTTTAAATTCTCAGAAGTTTGCTAAACTCCGAATTGAGTCTTATAGTTTTCAGAATGTGAACATGTGGTCCAAAGTTAATTAAGGAGCAATTTGTACGGGTGGAAAACCAAAGTATTTATCCAATGCTAAACTTGTTATATATACGGAAAAAGGTCAAATATACTCCTGCACTGTCAGAAAAGGTTTAAATATATTATACTATTTGTTCAAGTTTATCCCCTTTTCGTTAAGTTTGTCCAAAGTGGACATCCAACCTTACATGACACTGACATTTGATAAGGTGGATGCCATATGGCTTGCCACCTCAGCTCCCCTAACCCATTATACCCCTCCCTTCTATTTTTTTCCACCACTAAAATTTTCTTCCCCTTCACCACTACTACCATCATTACCGCTACTAGGGGTGTACAAAGAAAACTGATAAATTGCACCAAACCGATAATCCGAATCAAACCAAAAAAAAAATTTCGATCATGGTTGGTTTGGTGTTGGAAAAAAATCGACTATAATTGGCTTGGTTTTAACTAAAAAAAGTCATACCGAAACCAAACCCAACCTGACTTACATTTATACAATTTTTAATCATATTTTATACATATAGATATTTATTGTAATATTTCTTAAAGTTTTGAATGGTCCAATAAATTTTATAGTCCATAAAGATAGTAATTCAAATAAACTTCAAATCAATACTAATGCTAACAAAGGAAATTCAATTCAACACTAGAAATGGCAATACTGTTGGATATCTATTTTTTTAGTTTTGCATTGATTTATAATGAAAATGCATAACTTAGTTTATCTTTTTCTTTAGTGCTTAGTTGTATAATTAAATGTACTTATTTAGCATGACCTATATACTAGTTTTAGATTATGTTAATTTTTATGATGGCCTTTTAGTTAGTAATATTTTCTTTATGGATGTTATTATCTTTGTTATTGAATATTTTAGTACAATGCTATGACTCATCTCATATTGTTGTGTTATTTGTCTTGAAAAATACAGGCAAAATACATAAGTTAGCACCTGAACTACGGACTAATTACCTATTACACACTTTTTTTGGGCGAAAATAATATTACAGACCTTTTAAAAGTGTATCTAATACACACCTCCTTTGACCAGGACTCAACATGTGTATACACCATGATAGAAGCGCGTCTATCAATATAAATACTGTCTAATTAAATATTTAATGCCACATGTCAACAAATCCCTCATCTTCCCCGCCCTTCCCATGTCTCTTCCGCCGCCACCCCCCCTCCCCCCCTTCTCTTATTTTTCTTTCTCCCCTTTCTCTTCATTTTCTTTCTCAAAATCATTACCTCTGATTTCCTCTTAAATAAATATTTTGCATAAGTCTCAGGCTTCCAATCTCTTTCCTTCTTTAGCCTTATTTTTGATATGTTTGATTTCAGTCACCTTCAATAAAATTTTGTCTTCAACGCAATTTTTTCTATTAATATAACTTTTTTTTCTTGTGAATAATTTCTGCTACATCTATTGTGTGCATCTGCTTTTTCCTTTGATTTTGTGGTTATCTATCTCAGATTTAGGATTCTTAGCTTCTGACGTTGAAGAGGAAGTTGAATTTTTTATTCTAAAAGTTGGTGGTGGCGGCGCCAACTATGGGGATGACAAACAAAATTTTTGGGAGAGAGCTATAAATAAAAATAGCCAGTTATATCTTTGTTGATGTAGATAAGCTTCAGTAAATATGGTACCCGAGGAGTTGTAGAGAGAAGGCTGTTTTTTTTTCTATTTTCGATTACCTTTGCCATTGTTGCGTTTTCTTTTAGCAATGGCCTTGTTGAGGTGGTGATACGGTGGTGTGGCCATGGCTAATTGGCTTTTGATGCTTTTATTTCTTTTTGGGATTAAATCATTTGGGGTCCTAATTTTTGGGTTGAATTGTGTTGTGACGACCCGACCCGTCCTCACGTGAGTTACCGCCCCGTTTTCCCCATTTTCTACTTCTTTATGCTTCATTATAAGAGTCTTGTGTGAACGAGTTGATTTGGATTGGTTTTAGAAGGAAATGAGACACTTAGTCTCTTTAAGGAAGGTTTGGTTTGGAAAAGTCAACCGGATGTTGACTTATGAGTTAGAGGGCTCGTACGTGATTTTCGGTGATTCGGTTAGCTTCGGGGGATGATTTGTGACCTAGGAGCGTGATCGGAAGTGATTTTGGAGGTCCGGTGTAGAATTAGGCTTGAATTGGCGAAGTTAGTATTTTGGCG